TCTCCTCCGGCCATTGTACGCGGGACAATCGAGATCTTGATGGGCACAAGACCAGTGCGGGGCAAAAGCCAAGCAACCAGTGCACGACCAGCCTCCTGTACTGCAGCAACACGACGTTCCGGAGGTGAGAGCGGGTTGGATTTTTTCGCGGCACCTGAAAGATTGCAGGGAACAAAGCGTGGGTATACTTCAATAAATGCATAGTATTACAGGAACTAGGTGCGGCCAAACTGGAAAATCAACGGTAACTGATAAAGCAAATACGTGACTGGAAAAGAAAATAACGAACAGATCGAGTTCAACAAAGGCCGGTCACACAGTATGGGAGAAACAAAGAAGAACTCGTTGGATAGAATTGTAAGATTTGTGATTGTGTAAAAATATATGCAGCGGAAATGTGTTTCCGAACGCTGGACAAAAGCCTGAGATCATCTAAACAGTACCCTGAAAAACTCTTAGTGACTTCATCTTGCCACTTGCAGTCCAGTTTGTAATGTTCACATGGGAAGGACCGAGGAGGATTACTGTATAGACAGGCGATTGGGGACATTTAAATTTTTAAACCAATAAACCAGTTAGTACTTCTACCGGAATGCAGTTAGCTACAGTGGGAGGATCGGTCACGCTCACGAGGTGAAACTAGAAGCACTCCGATTTGAGGTTTCGCAACCATTAGCCATGCACTGTCATGTGCCGATTTCGGTCCTGTCTCATTGCTGCTCATTCGAACGAAAGGAAGATTGGAAGATGCCAATCAGNGCATAGAAAATTCATGAAGACGAAAACTGCAAGAGTGGTGAGTACATGTACGAGCGACATTCAACCAGATCATTCTAGGGGTCCAACAATAGGTTACGTTGATCCCTCTACTCCTAGTTTCAACATCCTTGAACTTTTTCCACCCACTATCTGCCTCGGTAAACATCGCGCGCAGTACCAACCTATTTGGGGACATGCTTAACACATGCCCCAATCAACGCAGTCTATGGAGGTCGACCACTTGTTCCCGTGGGCGATAGCAACTAGATANCCTAGCCTCAGTATTGCTCGTGCGGTGCAATGCGCAGTAGACAGCGATGTTCGAACACAGATATTCTATCTTCATCTTGCGTTCCTAATGGCCGTCTCTTTCTCGTACGGTAGAAATAGTCGGATCGCTGTAGCACATACTTCTCACAGACTGCCGTATTTCGCGACGGTACCAAAAATCTCCGCTTGATAACTGCTAATCAAGCCCTCTGTCTACGAGTCGACACTAAATCCGTGAGGTGTTCACAGCTGAGGTATAGCAAAATTAGTTCACTACCTCTATTAGTTCTCTGGCTGGAGTGGCGTTGGTAGCTGGACCAACCTAGTCATGTAGCAACATATTACGGTTTGAAGGTGTGAAACGCATACGGAACATATCTACATCCACCGCCACCCAACTTTCGTGGTAGACAGTTTTGCTGCCATCCGGTTCAATACCATGCCTAACCTAGCGGGGCCCTATGTGGTTCACCACTCCAAGTCCCGGGGTTTAGGTTGCCGGTTTCCATGACGGATCAGCAGGTCTTTTTGACTATGAGGTTTACTCCGTCTGTTGTTCACCACACTGATGTGCGCAATATAAAAACAATACTACTCGAACTGTTCAGAAAACCTTGTAACTTACCTGCATCTTTGCTTAGTAGTACAATTAGGGTGCATACCACAGATCAGACAAGTTGACACCTGGAAGAAAATCGATGCCGCTATTCTCACACAAGAGCAAGTTCTTTTTCAAGAACCATATTCACTACAAAGTTGAATGGAAAATGCAAGAGTTTCGTTAACTGCAAGATCAAGACCTTAAACTCCAATCGCAAAAGCCGGTGCGGAAGGTGCCTCTAGGTCGGAAACCTGAAACCTTTTAAGATGACTTATTTTATTGGAGAGCACAGCTGTTTGCTTCTAAGCACATCCCCTGGAAACCTCTATTTCAGATGCAGCATCGATATCAACTGACAGTGACAGTGGTTACCCTATTGAGATAAAGCTTGACACGTTTGATATCAAAGGGGTCGATTGAAATGAGACTGAAAACGTTCACCGAAGGTGTATGTTACCATTGTGTAAACCAACTGATATCTAAGGCTGATCAAAATTGCCGACTCACATGATAGGTCTGGAGTTCAAAGCCCGAAACGAGCTGTGGATATACACTATTGATTGGTCCTAAGGTGAACGAAACTCGGGTCAAGCGCTTGCTGGGAATAAGGTTGATTAGATATAATGAGGATTGTGCAGGAAGAGAGAGAGCCTGAAGGATGGTCAGTTCACATCAGCAAGGCGTATCAAAAATCATCACTCATAAAGAACCGTGGGTAGAGAGTGAATTCAGATTTATATATTTTTATATATTTCACATTTAACATCCAAAAGCTGCTGTCGTTAGCTTTGCTTTCCCGCACCGATGCTTTGGTTTTCTGCATCCGATAAGTTAGAACGCATTGCCCTAACCAGACAGTTAACTCCGCAAAATGGAATGGTGGAGTGTGTGGGAAGTTTATGTGGTCCCACCACTCCAGGTCCCGGATTGTCAGCTTCTATCTCTGAACAGCAGGCCACGACCTTCAACCCGTTTGCTGTTCATTATCACATAAAAATGTGGTCCTCACTTGATATAGACAAAAAATAAACTACACTTGGGGATAAAACCAATGGGATTTAAGTACAATCAACAAAGATGGAGCCGAAAAAAAAACGAAATTGGGGTGTAAAAACGCAACAGACCGGGAATCCGAGTCACCTAAGCATGTACAACTAACTCACCGGCCAAAATACGTTCAAACGCCACATCGAAATCCGCCCGGGTCACTCCTTCCAAATAGTCCGTACGACGAGCGGCCACCAGTGCCGCTTCGTTGCATAGTCGAGCTATATCTGCTCCGCTCATTCCCGGAGTCCATAGCGCTAAGCGATCAATCAGCTCGGCCTGAATAATTGTCGGGGACAAGAGGTATTTGGCTGTCGTGTAGAGATGTGAAAGATCGATAGAGCAGAGTGAGATGGTGGTGAATTATGGAAGACGATACAATTAAAGGTGCACTGAACATTTCCGGCGTCACCGCAAAGTTCCGACCACAGGATCCCAGAGTCAAACCTAAAAGAATTCAATTGTTTTTCCCTCTGCTGGATAAAGACTGATGATGAATTGCAAAGTACCAATAACCGCACCACGCGAATGTGAATTACACCCGTTTTACTGGTACGATATGGAGACCACAAACATGACAATTCACGGTGCAAAGAAGTTGCTAAAGAAACAGCTTACCCATATACATTGCAATCAGTTCTTTCCGTTCAGCCAGATTGGGAAGATCGATGAAAATATGGCGATCGAAACGACCGGCGCGGAGTAACGCCTTGTCGAGCAGATCGGCTCGATTTGTTGCCGCGAATACTATCGTGCCCTCCGCCGTGTCCATCCCATCCATCTCCACAAGTAGCTGATTTAGGGTCTGTTCCATCTCTGAAACACCACCACCGCCGCCGCCACCTGGACCACCACCCCGTCTGTGTGACGCGGGGAGTGGGGGGGGGGAGGAGGGTTAAAAATAGAAGAGGGGCGATTGTGAGAACAGGACAAGAAAGTAGTCCACGTCAGCTTAGCACGATTTATGCCATTATTAGAATTTTACTCCAACATGACGGTCTCATTTATTGTTTGAGTGAGTTAAGAGAAAACAACAGAAGCTGGGGAGAGTACTAGTGCAAGGATAAACAAAGCACAATTATCACATAGTTCCTTGTGAGAATAGTGGTTGAATGGTTTAAGGGATTCTGATTCGAATCGATCATAATTGTGAGTTCACTTTCACACACACACACACACACACACACACACACACAAGTCGCAGTTCATTCAGCCGATCGTACACTCGGAAAGCACTAGATTCGATCTCATAAAAAATCATCAGTAGGATATATCCATCGTCTCGTCCGGGATCGGATCTCCGGACGCATTGCACGGAAGGCCTGTTGGTCACCGCTGTGATAACTAGTTCACACTCATGGTGACCAATATCGCCGATGAGTTTGTTCAGATGCTGTCTTCAAGGGCGATCGGTGATTGTTTCGGAGACCTATCTAAATTGCCAGTATTCACTGTCGACATTTTGCGGTTGTGCTGGACCAAATCATCATACAACTTGGGAGAAGCTCCAGGTCCAAGTATGAACAGTCTTATGCAGTTCTACAGGAAGGATCAGTTTTCGTGCTCCTTCAGTTCGCTTAGTCTATTCTATCTGCTTTTTGTTGGTTGGCTTTTTGTTTGCCACGACGACCATTTGTTGTTCAATTGTCGCACTGTTATCTTAGATTCACTCNATTCACTCCAACGTCTGTTAAACTCGGTATCAAATTGGTTTCAACTGATTTTAGATGGAGCCATTTCAGGTCATCGATGACTTTTCTTCAAAGCGATAAATTGGTTTCTCTATTTATACCGCAGCGTCTGCAGTACTGTGAACTATTGCGTGGGTTTCTTAGTTCCGTTTCCGATTGCCCTGGCCCGTTCGAGGATATGAGTCTCAGTGTTAGTGTGGACTGAGATTCGGGACCTGACGTCACGACTCCTGACCGCCCCTGTGTGCGTTCGTGTTCCAGNGTGTCACCAGTTCCCAACCTGCCTGCTCAGTCAAGTATTTCTCGCACTCTTAGCACGGGAATTTGCACACCATGGCTAAGAGAGTTTCTTTCAGTAGTGGATTTTGACAGAACAGCTAAGGACAAGAAAGATGATACAGGGTGAAAACCAGTTCCGTATCACACACCGCCTCGGTCACAGCGGCAGGTGTGAAAAGAACTCCTCACACGCACAACTCTGAATAAGTTTTTTCTTTAGTCTGATCTTTTCCTAGCACGGTGTGCGACGAACAGCAGACGGGGCGGACACCATAGTCACGAACACCTACTGCTCAGTGATGGTAACTGGCAACCTAAGCCCCGAGGCTTGGAGTAGCGAACAATTTAAGGCCCCGCTGGGTAAGGCATGATATAGGACCGGCCGACAGCAAAGTTACCAACTACCTAAGTTGGGTGACGGTACTGGGGCTCGAACCTCACACCACAGGGTCCAAAACGCGCCGGTGGGAGCGACTAAATCATTGGGCCACAACCACTGTTGGATACAAAAAATACCGAGCTCGTCAACTGACTCGTCAGCAAAGATCCTCGTGGAATACATCCCTTGATCGGTCACACACATGGAAAACCTCCAAAAGCCTCACTTTGGTCGGGGGTGGGTATCTAAGGTTGCGGCTGGTCACTCTTCCTTTGCACCTCGCATCTCAAATAGCCCCCGTTGAGGAAGCCCAACTCACTGCCTTCTCGTGACGGAGGTGTTTTCCCACCAAAATGCGAGGACGTAAGGACGCCATCCGGGGCTATAACCGGGTTGGTGAATCAGTGGTACTCCACCTAGAGGAGTTGGCCAAAAACTGATTTCAAACCAACCAAGAGGAGGCGTACAAACCACACGTACCTTACGGGTTGTGGCAGTGGTCACCAGCTCGCTTGGGTATTGAGGTGCATTGGGCACCTTTGACGTCTGACTGTGTCCGAAAAGGCGAATGATTCGATGAAATGGACACCGCCTCCCAATGGACTGCGGTTTTCACACTCGGCCCCGCTGCCTTGCGGGTCAGGCTTTGACTCGTCAAAGGCTCCGGTTGTGAATTCCTCAAGAAAATTCACTTGCCTTGGCCTGGGCAACGTGGGAGTATTCAGCCCATAAGACAATCTTTTTCATAAAGATTATTGTACCGTGATTTGTTTGGTGCAGTGTGGATTAAGACGTGTGTGAAATATAATAACAACACATGGAAATGTGCCGGCCAAATCAAAATAGTATTGGTCTTCCCAAAATCATTCTCCCTATGTCCACTACTCCCATGTCTGTGATTTTGGTGAGGGAGAGCCGTTATTATCCGGTAGAGATGAAAAATCCCAAATGTCCGTGAATGTAAGTGGCAACCATTAGACGGCTTTGCCTGGATCATAGATTGGTAGGTTTCCATTGAAGAGAGCGAGTGAAAGTCATTCATTTTTATACTGATAGTACTTTTTTCTCGGTTCATTCCAAGCATAAAAATTAACGATGAATCAAACGAATAAAAGCAAATCTGTGTGAAGTACGGACACCAGATCAGAATGTGCCTGATTAATCTGCATCCCTAACCCACTGGTGTTGTCGGGGCACGTCAAGCGCGTCTTCGAGGGATACCCAAGGAGACGGTGTATAGTGCAGAACACGACGGCAAATCTGAAAATGACAGTTAAACAAACTCACGCCGGCAAAACCAGACACCAGGTGGATGAAAGGAGAACATTGCTCTGTAGCACACTCACACGCTCTGTATTTCATGCACGTTTGTCGTGGGGTGCACTTACCCACCAGAATCGACAGAACTGCGTCGACGACCGAGAGAATCCAGTTCATCGATGAAAATGATTGCCGGTGGATTGGCTCTGGCCGTGCGGAATAGCTGACGGATACGTGAAGCGCCCAAACCGCCAATCACTTCGACGAACTCGGAACCAGCCATCGAAAAGAACGGCACTCCCGCCTCGTTGGCCAAAGCTTTCACCTGAAACATGTTCAATAAAACATTATTTGTTTATGCAATGTCAACACAACATATTAGAAAGTTACATTGCGTACTCTGTGAGTTGACCACAACATGGAGATTTACCTACTTTTCGCTTCATCAAAACAGTTTCAATCCCTCCTCCACCTCACATATTACCGTTATTTTTGGGTGAAGAATGAAGTTCGATTCACTGTATTTAGCTGTACGATGATGATGATGATATCAGAAAGTTGGACCAATTTCTAAATCAAAACAGACATACTATCAATTGACACCAAATAATGAAGAATATCAATTTGTTTACAGTTCTTATTTTCACAATTTGTCCATTGAGAAAACAGGACAAAGGTATATTGTCGGTGTTTGAACACCGCTGTCTATGCAGCATTGCACGAATCTGGTGGGATAACCGGATGAGCAATGCTGAGGTTAGACGCAGGGTTTTGGGTAAATGCGGTCGCCCACTGGAGCAAGTGATCGACCTCCATAGATTACGTTAACTGGGACATGTGTTACGCATGTCATTAGACAGGTTACCACGGCGAGC